CCTACTGCTCCCGCTTAAACTTCTGCATCAGATTTCCCACCTCTGGGAAATTATACCACTAAAAAAAAACACATTTACTTTTATTTTTAAACAGATACCACAGGATAAATAGAGACAACAGATGAGGCCACTGCTTCCCCTTACAGGTACTCAGATGGTGGGTATCCTGGGGAAAATAAAGGGAAACCCCAGGTGTAGTATTGTAGCAGTTTTGAAGGCTCCTACCCAGCAAAGTATATAAGCACAGGCTTAATGCTGAGCCCTTCACTAAAGCATCTTGTTTGAATGTCCACAGGCAAGCCAGCCTGGTGATGGTCGAGTATGAGTCAGGCCAGGTTCCTGGTGCCAAAAGAGTGCGTTACTGTTCTGGCTGTTCTGCATGTTCTGCAGGTTTGGACCATCTCTTTGCTGTCCCTTTTTAATACAGCAGTTGTTAATAGATCAGGTGCTTCAAACCGTACCTCTAAAATATTCATTTTCCTGAATATTACATTTCTAGTCATATTATTTAAATGTATCAGGAAAGCTTCAACTAAATCTTTTAATCCCATTTGATCTACAAACAGAGCTGCAACATGACAGGTTGGATTAATGCATTTGGCATTTGTGAAATTATAAACCTCACACAGCAAACAGACAGCAACTGCTGCTGCTCTTTCCCTTCTGCTTCTGTAACACCAGGCTAAACTAAAATAAACCCTTTCCCTACATCTACATTTGATTGAAAGACAGACATGCACGAAAGGGTGAAGTATCCTAAGTGATGGGCTCAGTGGGATATTGAATTTATGTCTACGCTTTGATGCTTCTGGGTTTCGTTTTCTGCTCCTGAGTAGAATTAATTCTGTTCCCCACAGGAATCGATTTGGTATTCTACATAAAGCCTCCCGTTTTATTGTTTTAAATCCAACTTCCAGGGAAAGGCAAGAGGTCAAGGGGAGACTGAAGGAATGAAAAGTGGAGAGGGGACCTTTTACAACCCAAATTCCATTAAGACCCTTTTTAATATACTAAGCTCCGTTTTGTCTGTCTCGGTTTCAAAAAAGACAAGAGCTCTTTTAAAGGGGCCCCTGAATCCTCATTTCCAATTCCACGTTCTCCCTGACAACCCTTTACCTTGTGTTCTTGACAGTTACACAACTGACAGCATTACTTTTCCCCTTACGCTCCATAGCGAGAGCCAGAAAGGAGAGAGCCAGCTCCCCACAGCATCACATCCAGCATCCCCCAAGCCAGTGGGGAAAAACCCCCTTAGCTCCGACCCTGTGCTCCTGCCCTGGCTGTGGTGAAGCCAGTGAGCTCTCCTGAAGAGCCCTGAGCCAGCAAAACGCTGCCCAGAGATGCTCATCAGCATTCCCAGCAGCTGTCTCCATGGCATGGAGGACACTTTTAAAGAGCGTAAAAGCAAAAGTATATATGGAACAAAGCAATGAAAGGGAACAAAACAGGGAGGAAGAAAAGGACAAGGCTGTAACTCAAAGGGCTTTGTCTGAAAGTTTGCTTCTGACAGCCTGTCCCCAGGTTGCAACATGAGGTTTCTCCAGATTTCTCACTGGTCTGAATCCTAAGTTGATGGTCATGTAATACATTAAATATCCAAGTTCACAGACACAGCAAAACTATTCCTCACCCAGCAATTACACAAAACCTAAGCTAACCTCACTGACAAGCAGCTGACAAGAGGCGCATGCATGTGGTGTGAAGGGCTGTTTTAGCATCTGTTTTCTTACCAACACTGTTCCAACAGACATGCCCCTGGGCAACCTGAAGCACCAAGGGCTCATGTCAGAAAGGTGCTGAGCCCCTCGGCCCCAGTACAGTGTTCTTGCCTAACTCCATAGCAACAGGCCCTTACAAAGATGTTCCCCACCTTTCAAAAGCCAGAGCAGAGGGGCCTAAAGAGCAGAGCCATGCTCAGGATCTCAAATCTGGGTCAAGTTCTCACCTCCTAAGACCAACTGTCATTTCGGAATGATAGAAGTGATGCTTGAAAACTAAAGACCCGAGTATAACCAATATTCCTCTTTGGCTGAGTCTGCAGACTCAGCTTGACACAAACCCTATGACCTGTACCAAATTCAGACTGCGTGTTTCTTTGAAATCCACTGTTCTGCTGAAATTTCATCAGCAAAGGCCTCCCTTGGAGGAGGATAAATCCTGTGTCAGAAGTCACGCAGAAACCCTGTGAAGAGGCAGCAGATCTGTACAGGACACAGCATCAGGCAGGCACTGACTGACCCTTCTTACCCCAGAGGAGATGCACCTATGACTGTGGCAGTCAGGGATGCTCATACTGACCCCAAATCTGTTTAATTCTAGGGCCTTGGATAGCTTTAATCCAGTCCTCCTTATAGCCTGCAATGTGGGAATGACTCTCTGCTATTCTGGCACTAATAGTGTCAAATGGCATTCATTCAAACAAATCACTTCTAAACTTCTAAACCAAATCACTTCTGGATTCATACAGACAGGGCTGGGTTTATATCAACTGGGCTGGATTCAGCAACAATAAGTGAGGAGAAATTTTTCCCTTTTTTTTTTCCTGGAATTTTAATGAATAAACAGCAATTCCTATTCATTATTTATCTACTTCTGAATTTTAATGAATAGTTCCCAGCGCTCATTAACAAATCTCTGTATTTATGGAAAACTGGCACTTCATAAATATCAAATTGTGCTATTTTATGTGCTGGTTTTATATAAATATAGAAATTCTGTAATTATCACTCGAACTGATCATTAAAATTCAAAAGCAGATAAATAAGCGAAAGCTTTCTGCCTTATTATTCAGATAAAACATCTTTCTTTTCTTTTCTAAATGACTCCCTGTCCCTACGCTGCATCAGGCCCTGTCCTTAGGGTGGCATGCAGCCACTGCTCACCTTGCAGGTAGTGACTGTCTGCTGTGTTATCTGGGCTTTCTGCTCTGTGCCAGCAGCAAGAGACTCCTGTTGATGTGTACTGGCTTTCTCCCAGCTTCGTCTCTCTCTCTGTCATGAGATTCCTGGTTGGCATTTTCATTCCACACTGATCCATCCTTCCCCCTGCCCCAACACTGTTCCTGACTTCCGTATTATCACAGCAGAACCATTAATTAGCTATTCTATGTAAATCCATGTGTGGAATGAAATCCATGTCAAGTCCATAAAATCAAATTCCAAGTTGATGTGTGATGTAAGCTATAGAGCTGCCTTTGTTACAAACAGCTGGGAGGAAAACCCACCTCATCCCATCCAAAGCAAAGCAATACAACCTGCTCGCCATCTCATCACACTCCTCTCTGGAGCACAGAACAACCCATAGCCTCATCTCAGTAGTGTAAGGAGAAAGCTGAAGCATCACTGCGGCTATCCATGAAGCTGCCCTGGGTGTACAGCACTTCATTTCCGACCAGCAACTGTTCTAGGATCAATTATCTATGTGAAGAGAAAGAGCACTAACGTTAAAGTAACACTTGAACAACACACTGGTTACCTGCGCTTTAGCTGGCCTCACTACAAGTCATTTGTACAAGCCTAATCCATAGAGTACACCAACAGTTTCAGATATATGGAGGTACCCCTATCCCACAGGACAAGAGGTGATAGAGAAGGCAGACAATCCTTACAAAGCAAAATGGATATGTACCTAAAAGCCCAGGAGACGCTGCAGGCACATATATTATCAGGGCACTGCAGCAGTCATGTTGTGTTAAAGGTTATCCCCCTTAAATATCAGCCATTGCACTTAAGGTCAGGAAAATGTGTCTGTTCCCTGATCACATCAGGCCATGAAACCAAAGGCTGCCCAGGCTTCAGCTCTCTTTAATGAAGCCTGTGGGCTAGATTTTCCCCAGGTTTTTGTAAGTCCTTGTCACAGTGCTGGAGGTATTTGCGACAACTGCTAACCAAGTTAAACCAGATGTGATTAGCAAAGGGAACAGCAATGTCTCCTTTGAATTTACATTCTCCTTTTGTTCCAAACATCCCAATCTCCTGGAGTTTTGCATGTCAACACACCTGAAATGAAAGAGACTTTGGATCTTAAAGACTATGGCTCCATCTGAGCATCACATCTTTTATCAGGTCTGCCATGGGAAAATTCCTTTCCAGTCTCCTGACTAGGCTTAAGTGGTTCATAAGAGCTTTGTCCAAAACTTCCTGTGTGCACTCACTGGTATTTATTTGTTCCCCAGAGCTGAATCAGACCAACACTGCTCCAAATTGCAGTCAAGTGAGTCAATGCTCCCTATGTCATTTGTGAGAAGAAGTGACACTTTTCTCCTTTTTAAATCCATTTTAGCTGTAGAACAGTGGAGTTCAGAGAAAGTGCTGAGTTTCATGTGTTGTAAGTCTGGCTTTCCCAGAGCTCTTGACAGTAAGGAGGACAGGTAATATGCCTCCTTTCTTCCTCATGCTTTCCTTTGCTTTACATAAGCTTCGCCTCTTCTCTTACACCCAAACTGTAACCATCCTGGAGCAGCAGGAGTGTTTAGTGTAGCTGGTATGGCACCTTGCATGATGAGACTCCACTGCATCATGGCAGTCCAACAAAGGTAAGACAAAAGGAAGATGGATTAACTGTGGCACTTCCCTGGGGCTGTTAAAGGCTACAGAACTACTGGCCAGTTCCTGGGAGAAATCACTGAAATCCCCGAAAAGCCCATCTCCCACATGGATGCCTTTCCCAACAAGGAATGCTGCAGGCAGCTGTTCCCAAAGGAAAAAACCCAACTTTTTCTCTTACACGCTTATTTTCCCCTTTTCTCTTTGCTACTTTCTCACTCCAGCTCCGCTTTTTCGGTCTGACCTTTTCTCTATTGTGCCGAGCTTCTCCACAGTGCTGGCAGCTGCTATTCAGAGTCTGGAGGCAGCAGGTTTCATTACAGCAAAGCTCTCCTAACATTGTGCACTATGCCTGGTTCAGCAGTGCAGCATTAATCCTCTCCCACTGCCCCTACCACCCCTGGGGGAGGTTCTCCTGCAGGATACACACCCCTTGGCCTGTCACAAGCCAGAAGCTCCCGAAATAGTCTTGATTTTATTGGCACAGTTGCAGCAACAGAAACATTTGACTTGTCTAAATCAATACAGGGTTTCTTCCTCCGTTTTTATTGTAAAGGACATATGCCTACACAGCTGCTTCACTGCCAGGCTCTTCAAAGGCACAAGCAGAGGAAGAGATGTGGAATCATTCTGGATGTCATTTCAGCACATTCTTTCAGTTGCCCATCCACAAGCGGGTCAGTCTTGTACTTTCTGACCACATTTCCCCTCTGTCCCAGGGTTGATGTTGACCTACTTTCCCACAGCAGAACTCACTAATATTCCCCTCAGCATCCAGATAATAAAGTGAGAGGAAAAATCCAAATCCGACTTGCACCAAGCAATTATTTTCACGTCCATCTGTATTCGCTGCGCTAGTGCCAGGGTTTTGTTAATGCACAATAGAGGATAATGAGATCACTTTTGAATTCCCCATCTTCTTCCCTCTGAAGCTCTGAAAGCACTGGGTAAAGACAAAAGCTGTCATGTTTTACCAGGGTGCTGCTTCAACCAGCAGTGTGCCTCGCAGTGATTACAGCCATGTGTTTACAGCAAGGTGCAAAAACCAAGTGGATAAATAAACACATGAATGAAAATCCTTTGACATGGATTTAGTAACACCTCAGGCAATTGTATGATTTAGCGTAGGGTGTCCCTGCCCATGGCAGGGGGTTGGAACTAGATGATCTTAAGGTCCTTTCCAACCCTAATGATTCTATGATTCTATCCCTTCACAAATACTGATTCTTTAAGTCCTCAGGTAACCCCCAGACAAAACCAGATGTAAAGGTGGGGAGATGAAGCAAGTCAGCTGTGTAAGAGACAGAGGGCTTATACTGCAAACAGCCTGAGCTGGACATGTGAAAACACAGTCCTGAAAAACATGATGCTACAGAAAATCTCTGCTTCAGGACTGTGCCTAGGAGAAGGAAGTGTAGGTCCAAACCCTCCCCTACACCTGATGTGCGAGCTACATGGCACGATGTCCCCATCAAGGCAAGCTCACTCCTGTATTTACTGCTGAGCCAGGGCTCCAAAGGCTGTGCGGAACTGCCAACCCTAGGGCAAGCCAACCCAAAAGCTGTGCCAAGGCTCAGAGCAGCCTCTGTGCAGAGAGTGGACAGGGATTGATAGGCCTTGGGGCTAGAAGAGGCTGTGGTGATCATCCAAACAGACTCCACACGCACCATATGCTGCAAACACTTCACAGATGTGTTACGTACCACCCAGCATTTTGGGAAGCTTGAACCCAGCAGCTCTGTGTATCCTGGGAGCCTGCTGCCTATGAGAAGGTGTATGAATGTTTATCACATGTTGGAGCAAACCAACCAAGACCACAATACAAAACAATGCCGTCTGAAGCACAGCACACATGGAGAATGGAGTGTGCTAGGAGTTGTCTTATTTTTCTGCCTTTCAGAGTTGCTCTATTCCACAGCTAGCTGTCGTCTGCTCTCCCTGCAATGTCCTCACCATCTGCTGCATGGAAATCTGTCTACCCTCTTTGCCTGCAGGATTTTGCATGCCTGCATGTGTTTTGTCCTGTGTCAGGACCTGCAGCAGTCATTCCAAGGAAGCACATTCTGCCAGTGAAAGAGGAAGCAGGGGGTGTTGAAATCTCATGATCAGACCCACACTTAGGAGGGAAATGGGTTTGGGATTTTGCAGCAAAGACTGCCCAGGACTCCAGTGTGACAAATACAAACAGGCAGAAGGACACACATGTTCCCCTCCGTGTCAACTCACACATGAGGATATTCTAAAACAACCTCAGAGCACGGTCTGACTAATACTAGAAGCCATGGCATAGAAGCAGAAATTTTCCAAGCTCTACTTTGTTTTAAACCTGATAGATTATGGCTAATAAAACCATAGTGCATTCAGAGAATAAAAAAATATGCATAACATAAGGCAGAAATGATTAGATGGACTTTCAGATCACATGTTTTCTCATATTCTTGAAATAATACTCTTGAGCTACAACAAAAATTACCAAAGCTGTGAGTAAATACAAGTGAAGCAACTCTGCTGCCCTCAGCAGAACAGGGCTAGTGTTTACATCAGGATTAAGCCTGGTGCACACATTTACACTGTTCTCAAAGTTCTGTTTTGATAGAACAACTTGTGCCTTCCTCAACCTTTAGGAAATTCCCCAGAACACAAACTCCAGGGCAAGCAAACAGACACTACTTCAGAACAGCCTGAGTGTGTCAGTAGCTAACAGCAAGGGAAGAAACACTAGGGAAGATCTACTAGAGCACACAAGCGTGAGATGTACACAGAAATCTCTCAGAGTAAGCAGCCTCCTCCAGATGTATTTAGTGACAAGAGAATAAACCCAGCTCCCAAACTATGGTCCAAGTTCACAGCTCAATTTGTTTCTTATCTTTCAACCACATCTAAACGCAGCAAAACGTAACCTCCCAAATGCTGGGGGATGAGGAGATCCATCCTCAGCTGCACCCACAACCACAGCAGGGCTGAAGCCAGCCAAGATCTGTGGCTTTCAGCAGCCTTGCTCGTGGTCATCCCAACCCACCTTCTGAGCCTGGCAAGTGGCTGTGGGCAGCCGGAATAAACCTCCTTGGCTTCACCACAGCATTTACCTCTAACACAAGCCCATGGTCATAACTGGAAAGTACTAGAGAGCACGGACAGGGAGCCAGCCCAAACCTAGGGTGGCCAGAGATGCTCCCTGACCAGCTGGAATGTTTCAAGCACAATATTAAAAAGTGACCATAGGAGCCAGAACCCCAAATCTCATTAACTGTGTCCACACTGTACTTGACTGAGTGGCTCTGGGGTCCTGGCACTTGACTCCTATGCCAGCCCCCACTGGCAGCCTGTGCTCAGCTTGATTTCAGCTTTGCTTCTGCTGCCTGTAAATCCCTTCTGCCCTGCAGCAAAGACAGAATCCTCTGGGAAAGTCATTTTTTCTGTCTGACATGATCTCCATGAGGGAGACCAAACAGCTGGAGACTGAGAAAGTGATGGCCCATGCCAATGAAACCTGTAACCAGTGGATGTGCCTTGGAAATGAGGTTTTCCCTCAGGAATGTAAACTGCAACCTGCCAGACTAACAGGATATATAGAGAAGGCTAATAAGCAATGAGAGAAATAGGTATAAACTGGAGGCAGAGATAACCCACCACCACCAGTATATGGTTATGCCTCTACTAATATTCCTGAGCTATTCAGTTGCTCATTATTACATGAGTACATAGTACATTTACACACCCAAAGACACATGAACTGTAACACAAATCAAAGCAGGATGGTTGAAGGAAGAAGATACTCTTGGAGAGAGTGTGCACATCTCCCAGTAACAGGACAGCCCTCACAGGGCTTTGCACATCTATTTGGAAACACAAACCTTTATGGAAAGAGCTCAGCTGCAGCTTGAGCCCTCTAACAGCCACCCCAGGCAGGTGCAGATCTTCACTGAATTTCTGCAGTTTCAACTAGGCTGCAAGTGGATTAAGCTGGATAAATGCACAAACCTGCACAGGCTGATTGATAAGGCAGGACGTGGAATCAAGGGCTATCAGCTGCTGATTCAGGCTGAGAACCCTCCTGTGAAGTTTTATGTGAGGCTTCACTGTGCTTACGACTGTTTTCTCACCTTTCTTCTCAGGAACAACTGAATAGCTCAGGAATATTGTTAACCTAGTACAAAGTGAAAACATATCCTGCTTAATGTATGATTTTGCAGACCCAGGATCTTCCACTGTTTCTATAAATTTGGCAATTTTGCTGGCTGGTCACATTTTCCTCCCTATCAACCTGGGCACTGTGATTTGTTGCCCTGCAAGAAAATCACTATTATGTTAGCAGTACACAGCAGCAACAGCTCTAACATCTGACACAACAGTAGTAAGTTCCTGACCTGACATTTAGAAGAGCCTCTTTTTGACTCCAGTGTGCTTTGGAATAAGCCCTAAAGACCTTGCCCATGCTTTACACCAGTGGTGCGGCTTGTGATCAGCACTTGAACCTTCATTTGCTGTGGCTCCTGGGGTCTTTTTGTTCTTTCCAACCATTCAGCTTACAGTCAAATGTCAGCTCCTCAAAAATAAGTGCCTGGCTTGTGGTTAAAGAACAGGAAGAAGAAGGCTCAGTTAATTCCCAGCTCAACCACAGACATTGGGATGTCTCACCTGGGAGTGAGATTGACCAGACTGCTCTGATTTATTCCAGAAGCACTAAGCTCCCCTGAACTGAGTTGCTACCTAGTGGAGTTCTTATGTGCTTGGCATATTTGTAAACCATCTTAACACCTCTACTAACATCAACAGCTGTAGGGTAGGGACCATCCTACTGCTTTCCTTTCACTGTAAGCTGAAAGCCCATTAAGAGGCACTGCTCACTGAAGCATGTGTACAGCTCCGAGCACATGGAGCTCCAGTGGGTTTAACATAGCAGCAAGAAGAGAGAGTTGAGGAACAGAGACCCTGCCTATGAGAGAGTCAAGCACAAGGGGGTTCTCCCACAGCCTGGAAAGCTGATCAGAGTATGCCACAGGGAAAAAGAGATGATAATTCTCTCAAAAGTACTTGGAAGATTACACAAGCTGACTCATGGGCACATTTAATGGGTTTCTGGCGGAGTGACTGTACCTCCTCATTTGAACTGCTCCAAACGAAGGCAGAATTTTAGTCACACAGAAATTACATCAAAAGGAAAAGCCAGATGTTTTGTGAATCCCACCACTAATGAGCTACAAGTGCTGTTTTTTCCATTGTACAAGAAAATTATGAATTTTTAAACATATACAAAACAAATTGTTTGTGATTACATTAGACCTTCAAAAGCAAGTGGGAACATAAATTCAGAGATGAATAGCATAATATTGGATGCTTGCCTCACTGCTTGACTTCAATAACTTATCTCAATAAATCCCCAGCAGAAAGCATCTTATGTACTTCAAGCCTGCAGAAGATGAGACGTGAATGCTGGAGGAATTACAAGACAGAGGGGCTTTCTTGCAACAGTGAACAAGCTGAAAATTACAAGGTAATGGAAACTCAGCAGGAGGCCCCGTACCCTGCCATTAGCTAACTCCTACAATGATTGCTGCCGGAATCGCTTGGCTTCTGTAAGCACGGTGCACTGCTTCTGCACTTTGCATCTCTCCCCGCCTAAGCACACAGACAATTTAATTAGGCAAGAGCAGATACCTGAGCAACAGGGACGTGGACTTGCAGGTGGAGCAAAGCTGCCTCCTGGAGCAAACAGCAGCTCTCAGTCCCCACACGCCTGTCTCTTCTCTGTGGCACTTCACACCGGCTCTACAGATCAGTTTATTAAAGTGTTCACCATCTTTAAGCCAATATAGAATTACTGACATAGAACAGTTTGGGTTTAAAGGGACCTTCAAAGTTCATCCAGTTCCACCCCCCTGCAATGCGCAAGGACATCTTCAACTAGATCAGGCTGCCCAGAAACACATCCAGCCTGGCCTTGATGTCTCCAGGGACAGGGCATCCACCTCCTCTCTGGGCAGCCAGTGTTTTACCATCCTCATTGTACAAAATCTCTTCCTCACATCCAGCCTGAATTGCCCTCTTTTAGTTTAAAACCATCACCCCTCATCCTACCATAATAGGCCCTGCTAAAAAGTTTCTCCCCATCTCTCTTATAACTGTGGCCCTTTCAAGAACTGAAAGGCCACAATAAGGTCGCCTCAGAATATTTCTGTTCTCTAGGCTGAACAATCTTGACTCTCTCAGCCTTTCCTCACAGGAGAGGTGCTTCATCCCTCTCATCAGTTTTGGGGCCCTCCTCTGGATCAACACAGCCCCGACTTCCTCAAGCCATGTTATTACTGTAACTGCAAAGCTCAGTAAAATGAAGAACTAACAGGAAGAGAGTATTAGGCTTGAGTTGCTTAAAAGGCCAATTAGTGCCTGTCCCTTGTGCTTCTCATCCCATAGAAATTCTTGTTATTCCAGTCTTGGATAAGAAGTCAGCTTCATATAAATGCCCTCGAGTTGTGGCTCTTATTTTACCAACCAGGAGGTTAATGAGGGTAATACTTTTCCAGTGTTAAAAGAAAGCCAACCCAGCAGGTGCAGTACGTTAGAGCAGAGGGGGAAGCACACTTACAAGGAGGCACAACAAAGTGGGCAAGAAGAAAACGCTTCCTTCAAGCAGATACAACACATAAACTGACAAAATCCTCTACTGAGAGAAACTGGGGGATAGAGGAGGAATCACGTTCAGCTTTTCCAGGGAGGTGGGGAAGGAGAGAGCAGTAGTAATGGCTAATGGAGTGACACTTCAGATTTAGAAGATGATACTAGTGCTGTAAGTGGATTTAAAATGCTGAGATGAGGAGGCACAGTGCTAGGATTGTGGAGCAGGGGCCTTGATCACTGGCTCTGCACACTGCAGAAAGACCCTCCAAGACAAGAGGCTACCTATAGAACAACACTGTCCCCTAGATTTTACCCTCCAAGAACTGCTCTCTCCTACCCTCCTTTATGCTACCACATCACAAAGCCATCAGCAGCAATCTGCCCTCAACCCTGAGGGTTAGGGGTTGTTTGGATTCAGAGAAGCCATGCCAGCCTCAGCTTCCTACTTCCTACCCCTTGCTATGAAATTCAACCCTGCAAGACCCTGGGCTCTGTGCTGCTGGCCAGGTCTGGCCCTACCTCAATTGAGTTTTAGACAAGGAGAAGACAGCTTCTCCTTGAGACCACAGTGGCTACAGAGAGAGGTTTCACTCATCACAGCAGAGAGGAAACACAAGCCACAGGAGATCAAACCTGCAGTCTTTTTTATCTTAGGTGCTTAAAAGATAAACATCTAAATCCATATCTAGGTACTTACATGTCTCAGTGAAGTATTTTGGGGCATGACAGGGGAAAGCTTGATATAAGTTGACATTTTTGATAGCTGTGACCTCGTGTACCTGCATGCCAGTCAGGCCCAGCTGGCCTGATGTCCATCACAGCATCCTCTGGAGAGAGGTCAGCCTCAGGCTGGAGCTGGTTTAAAGCATGCTTTAATGGAAACTCTTGCACTGCACGTGGAATTCTTTGGTGCCATCTCAGCTCTCAAAGAGAGGGCTGGGAGTTATTTCCTCAGAGGTAATGCCCTGCATGGAAGCCCCTTCCAAGCTATCAGCATGTGTTAGAACCATCAGCAACTCCTTTGATGAACACTGCTTGCTTTTAAACTCAACCCTCCCCCAGCATTTTCCAATCAATACTCTGCCAGGATTTCTGAGATACCTTGGTATTTTCCAGTAACTATGACAGAAAACGTGAGATCTATTGCAAATGCCACAGGAGCCACTAGATGACATATATTCCTGTGCCGGGCTTCAAATTCAGTGGGACAGATTGTGTTGTGAGCTGGAGGAGGGATGGATTTCAGCCTGTGTGTCTCAGAGTGGTGATTGTTACATCCCTGGTATGAAATAGGCAATTATAAGACCTTGTCTCTCCCTCAGTTCTAAAAGAATTGTTTCTCTGAAACAGGAACCTGGCTATTAACTGTTAAATATTCCTGTCTTTCTTCTGCAGCCTCCTGTTTAGCAGCATTGGTGCTCTATGTGGGAAAGTGAATCTCACATCCCAGAACGTGCTTTGTTTTTTATGGGTTTCATTTCAGAAGCTGGTTGAATTTTTCAATCAATCAAATGCACGGGTGCATTTCAACACTCATCCAGCTTTCCTGGACATGTTAGGAGATTACTAAGCTTGCCTGATTCTAATTAAAAACAGGCCAGTGGGCAATCAATTTCACTTGTACCAACTTGTAATTACAGTGTTTGCTCCATAGCTCTACAAAAAAGAGGTGGCAGAAGAGGAGGGGGTTCTGAGGGACTCTGTGGTGCTGCCCTGAAGAACGTCAGAGTGAATCTCTTGTCATAAGTCATAGTGTAAGAACTGCATTGTTTTAAAATCATCTCAATACTACTTCATACTACAGTAAAATGGAAAATCTGGAAAAGTAAAATCTGTCATATTCTCTATGGATTGCCATTCAGTCTACTCCTGCCATTGGAGCAGGTTACTCACATGAGGAGCTGTCTCTGTGTCTCGTTCAGCTATGGTAGGTGTTTCTATGGGCAGACCTCTCATTACTGCTGCTTGACGATTTAAAAGTGGAGTTTCATCCTCTTCTGCTTTTTCCTCTTTCCCCATCCCTATTCAGGCTCTAATGAGGCCAAAAATACAATCAAGTTTTATAGTTCCATACCCACCTTTCCCTTCTGAACTGACTTTTTATTAAAAGGATTCCTGAAGAGTTATCCTGCTGCTGTTCAAGCAGTACCTCAAATTCCATGGACTGTGCCTGACTTAACCCAACAAATAGACTGTTTCTCCTATGCCTTGGCACTTCGTACAACCAAGGTGGACCTGCAGCCTGAGCATAACATTATGGCAAGACAATATTTCCTGATCAATGGAGACAAGATGAAGCACTTCCTTTCCTTATCATTCCATACCCCATCCCCAGCAGCAGAAATCCTTTGGCAATTACTCCTAATACAAGCTCTGTCAATTAAATGACAGCAAATAAATGACAAGTTTAATGGCACTCTATAACTAAAATGACTGCAACAATTTTTGCTTTATTACTCACTTGTGTCATATCAAGTATCACACAGTTCTGAAAAAAATGCCCAGGAGGAGGAAAAAAGAGAAATACTGGAAGAAGGAAGCAAAACCAGTGAAAGAAGAGACCAGAATCTGCTTTCTGTTGTTGGGTTTACACAGTTCATCTCTCCTTTAAGACGGGGCACAGTTCAATGCAGCTGGTGAGGTGACCGGTAGATGCTTGCAGTGAAGCTGGTCTTTCCCAGCAATTCACATTTCTACCTTTGTTTGCACTGCCAGGACATGCAGCTACTGACAGAGAAAAACGTACAGAGTTCAAACCTGTGATTTAATAATGGGAAGTACAGCACTGCCTCTGCTCCCTTGGAAATATCTGATGCGCAGGGAAACCAAATCACTTACTGGTGACACTGACTTGTTTCATTGAGGATTCTGATTTGTTCTGAGTTACCTTCAAGCACTGGAGAGTGTTAAATGCACACCACCAACCAGAAAATGCTTTTAATGATAGTTATTTGTCATATGTTGACACTGGATGCTACAGGATGGATGCGGGACCAGGTAAGAAACAGAACCGCTGAATTATCTGGGTTGGAAGGGACCTTTGGAGGGCTTTAGGCCAGCTCCAAGCTGTCCCAACCAGATCAGAGTGTCAAGGACTTTGCTGGTTTATGTATCTCCACTGGTAAATAACCCATAACCTCTGCTCATGTCTGATCATTCTCATAATGAAATTCTTTTCTTTATATCTGGAGAACTATATCCAAAAGGGTTTTATATCTGGAAATGCCTCCTTACTCCTTTTCTCTTGTACCACCGCAATTCCTTGCACTGAACACTGTATATGTCACCTCGTCTCCTAACAGAAGTAAAGCTAGAATCAGGCTGTGTGGAAACCGTTGACAGCATCAGTATTTTGCAGTACCCTACAATAAGCAGGTCCTGTGCTCATCTTCGGGAATGTGGACTCATACCTGGATCTAAGGTGTGACTCTGAAGTTACTAAAGTTAAAGAGAGCTTTTCCATTAGTGACACTGAACATCCCTTGATGTCAGTGACAACTTGTGAATGCTCAACAACATTTTTAAATATTAAACAAGGACTCAAGTGAAATCACTACAAGCTGGGACTCTGCTGCAGTAACTTGCACTGTCAACCAAATCCATGCTTTCACAAAAATAACAGAGTGAAGAAGGACCAATGAATTTACTAGAAGGCCTGAAGCATGTCAGCACAAGAGCCATGACAGCAAAAGAGCCACCATCACCAGCTGAGGCATTGAGTTCAGTGGTCTGAAAGCAGCTCTGGCTGCTACTTTGCTTATCATTAAGGAGGAAGCCGTTTGGTTTCTCTCCCAATATTTGCTGCCGTAGACTTCAAACAGAATCCTTTCTGAACAGGAAAGCACACCACAGATGTATAAGCCCCATTCACCACAAAGGCAAACTGGTCTGCTTCATAATTGATTTTGCACAGACCATTGATTTAAACTTTTCAAACCACTCATGATGGCAGGATTAGATCTGAGTCTTCCTAGTGCCCTACAGTTTGCACGGCAAGCTCTGAGCTATGTTTCTCTTTCACAGAGTTCTGCTTAATTGGACAAAGGGGACGGTTCAAGGGCAAGCCAACATAAGGTGTTTCATTTAAACACAGCCCTCAAGTACCTGTAATGAGCAAGTGTGTCTCTCACTCCCCTGCATAAATGACAGAAGTGATGTTTCAATTCCATTTACCTCTCTTGGCAAGGTAGTTAACACAGAAACCTGAGCTATTTTATACTTATAGCATTAGTGCAGGGAAATGTGTTTATTATGAGTTCCATTATAATATACTTAGCACAGTCCTTTCAAGTGATGACTGGAGGTTTATTTAAGAACTAGTTCAGCACCAGCTACAGATAAAAAGAAGCTTTCACATGTCAGTGGAAACTGCATTGGATCTTTACTGGCTGTTACGGTTAAAAACAATCAGAAAGACCTGAGGAAAAGAGATTAAACATTTTTACATGCAGCTTATTGGCATAAACAGCATTACTTCTTTCAGTGCATTAGCGTTTCCAACAAGGTTTTTACTAGGATAGGTAGAAAATACCAAAGCTCCATGGCTTCTCTGTAAATATGTATCCTGCTCATAAAATTTCAGTTTGCCATTTCAGAACTGGGAGCTCCTAATAACCCTAGAAACGTTTTCAACCCCATTAGGATGGTCAAGCAGCAATAGTAAGGAGCCCCTGCTCACAGGACCACCCAGCACAGCCACCTTTACTTTGCGGGGGGATAAAAAGCCTAAAGATTACCTCAAGTTACTGAATATTCTATTTTTCACAGTTGAGGACTCATTGATTCTGCTGTCCTCCAGGGGAGAGGAGGCACCATCCCCACAGGCCTGGCTGCCTCCATTCGTGGTATGTACTGGCTGGACCAGAAAGGAGCAACTGTTCACAGTGAAGCTGGTTTAGGACATGTTATAGATCAGTTAATAATGTCTGAGGCTCCCAGGATAAGAAAAAAAAGAGCTTTGGTACCTGGCAAAGCTGACAACCATGTACAGTGAATACACACTGTATTTAAAACACCAGACGTGACGCTCTGGGACATGGTTTAGTGGTTGCCTTGGCAGTGCTGGGTTAATGGCTGGACCTGATGATCTTACAGGTCTTTTCCAGCCTAAACAATTGTGTGATTCTATGATTTCATATTAGAACAGCAAGGTTTTTCATAGAGTGTAAATGTCTTTAATCACCCAGGCTAAACAGCACTAAGCACAAGTTCAAGGTGACTCTAACAGCTCCTATTAAAAATCTGCATTTTTATCTTCCTTAGATTAACTCCTATTTTAATTGCTCCTCTCACCGATTGAAGCGCTGGTGAAGGGAGCACTCTCATTCCTTTGATCTCCTGATTTCACTAAACACAGGCGAGGCTGGACATCAGGCAAAGCTACACAATTGCTCTGCTCCAGGGCAGAGCATGTGGCCCAAGCGTGGAACAGCTGATACACACAGCAGAGTGGCAGCAGGGCCTGGGGACAGGCTGCCTCCTGTTTTTCCTATTACCCCATCCATTTCATTGCTTACACCACTCCCAAACCAAGAAGGACTCCATCGATTTTTATGAACCTGGAAGATACTCAGAGAATCCTTTTTTTTCTTTTTCAGTGAGCTTGTGAATTTCCACCCCAGGGTCAGAGCAAACCTCCCCATCCCTTGCACTGGGTGGCCATGGCCCTGAATCTCCCATCTTTCACATAGAGCTAAACCAACCAACAACATACCTCTTCATATACAAAGACCTGTGAGTAAACCACTGCTTCCCAAAGGGCACAAACAAGACCACTGTGACAAATGAAGGCAACATCACCAGCAGGTTGAGGAGGGACCATGAGACCTTTTGTTCTTGCCAGCCACATCACTGAGGAGCTTTCAGAGAAGTTGAAAGGAGAAAACTTTGAAGGCAGCAAAAGGAAGTATTTTTATACTGTGATTAGCCTACAGCACTCACTGCCATGGGATGTTCCTGAAGCAAGAGCAACAAAGATCTGGAAAGGCACTGGAAATACACAGGCCTATCATGGCTGTCAGAAGTTGATGGCTGTCAAAATGGAGGAAAGGATATCAATGTTTTCTTTCAGTGTGGGTTCCTGTGAGGTGTCTGTTCCTCATCTGTCTGTTGGGGGTTTCAACACTTTCAGGCTAAAGTATCTGCTTCTGATGCCTGGCACAAAGAAGACCGTGAGCTAAAGCTGCTGCTGCCAGTGCACCCGGCCTGGATGGTCCTCTACTGCTGTGAGTACTGACATCAGCAGCTCATGCTGCTCAGCACAGATACCATCTGAGCCACCATCATACTTGAAGAACAACAGGAAGCTCCCCAAACCCACACAACCCCCCAACATTGCATTCTTCACTCCAAAAAGCCAAGTACAACTTTTTTCCTGCTGTTGTTCTGCCCAGGTAATGCAGTATCCCCAAGGGGCTTCCACTGAGGACATGAGCACACCCTTGGCAAGTGATGCCTGACCAATTCTGAAAACTATATTCATAGTTCAAAACGTGGTGTCTCTGTGTTAACAGAGGAAGCTCTGCACAAAGCACTGTGTGCACAGGCTGTTTCTGCACACCTTAAAGTCCCAGTGAAGTTGTACACACCAGGAAGAGCACTCTCTCTGGCTCTAGTCACGAGGACCGCAGTGCAGCCACAGTCTGTCCATGCACAGGGAGCAATTCCTTAGGTGAGGAGTTGCTGGTGTCCCTGGGAATTCCCTCCACCAGCAGCCCCATCCTCCTTTCAGCTGGGAGGAAGGTGACAGGCTGGTATGAAAGACCTTCTCCCAACCAGACTAGTTTGCCCAACTTCAGATCTGCACTTCCTCCTTTAATGTGATTAGTGGCAGCTGCTGTTATCTGAGGAAATCTAAATTGCTTCTTCCTGTGCTAATGAATCACTGCACTATGTGTGTGGAGATTAGAGAACAAGATGAATTTATTAATACACGTCTCATTAAAGGGAAAGTTCCACTGTTCCAGTGGCTTTGGTGAAGGGGTTGTAGCAGGTTTTGGAGTTGGAGAGGACAGCCACGGGTTGTCACTTCTAATTACAAGCCACAGTTGTACCTATAGGTCTTCTTAGACTGCGACTAGTGAGTGGAGGTACTAATGTATGTACACAGAGTGGGGCAGCCTCTCAGTGGGGATGTCACATTAAACTCTCCTGTCTGCAGGACCCAGTTTGGGTCCAGCACGGAGCTGCTGAGGCTGCACTGCCTGTTCCAGCAGCCAGAACGACTTTAAAGCACC